GAAATGCATGATGTGATTTTCTGCCTAAGTATTATCATGTTTTATCTAGGGGTTATGATGCATGATTTTTTTTTGCTAATATTTTTTTAAAAAAAAATAAACTAACCTATATGATTCTTTTTTGATAATGTTAGGGTACATAGAAGGGTTTTAATTTTTTTTATTAGTATCCATTCATTTTCCTATAATCTTTATCCATTTGAAATAAACAAAAACACACAAAGAATGCAACATACATATGCTCAACCAACGTACACCCACAAACAGTCACGTTCTAATCCATGGTATGTGGTCCTTATTAAAGAAAGTGCTTTGTATAGGAAGGTTCTAATTATCCTCACTAGTCTTTAAAGGCTCCCAAGGTGGCCCCATTATAGGGACCCAATATCTCTATCGTCATCACCTAGCAAACTCTAAGGTCTAACGCAGTATTTTGGGCTAGAATAACCGGTTATCACCCTGAGTGTGATTTTCGACAAGACTTGTAGGCTCAAGGCCATTCTTGAGTCGGTCGTACGTCAACCACTCTTTATGTTTACATGCTCATGCCCTCGAGTGTAGGAAAAATTGTTGTGTGCAAAGGTTTGTGTATAATTGTTCATTTCAAACAAGTGTGAAATTTAAACAAACATGCAGATATTAAAGCCAACCAAATAAAAGAAAACAAAGTAAGGGGAAAAGATATTTGAACTATTATTCTTATTTTGCTAATTTTATCATTTAGTTAGGCCTGACCCTCTTAAAGCTTTCCCAGTGGAGTCGTCATCTATCGAAATCCAAAAAATTCTAATCTAGCCAACAGATGGTTTTGACTTCTATTTGAAAATCTCATCGGTTTGGAAGTTCCCAACAACCAAACTAATCCTTGACCAACGGTTTTAGAAAAGAGTTCGAAAGAGTTGCCACCAATGTTTTACTCAAAACATCAGAAAAAGAAAAGATTTTTAAAATTGCCAAAATGACCCTCCTAGTCAGAATTGGGTTCGGGGTCGTTTACATGTAGAGAAGGTATTAGGCACCTACAACGTCTTAAATCGGTACCCTATGATGAAATTAACATAATAAAGAATAATAGTTTGAATATTTATTCCCCTTTTAGTGGTTATTTACATGTTACATTGGGATTATTTATATAAAAATAAGGGATTTAGATCCGACACATTTGAAAATGGTATGTCTACATGATTACGATTTATCTATGACAAAGTCATGTATATAAAGCAATTTAAATAAAAGAGAGAGATGAGAATTGTTGAAAAGTACCTCCTAAGCGAGCTTTTATAGAATTCTTCCTTTAAATGTGGGGGTTAGGCGCTTTTTGACAACCTTTTGAACTACAAATGTTCTCATAATGCTTAAGAAATACAAGAGAGAGAGAGAGAGAAAGAAAGAAAGAGAGAGAGTTTCTAAGCTAAATGACTGAAAATGGATCAAAGAAAGCCAATTTTTTGGTCCCCTTACACTATGCACTAGACAACTATTTACAAGTGTCAGATCTAACTGGAACGGTCATTCTGGTCATCGGAAAGGGTCGTTCTAGATTAATCTGTTGTTAGCAAATTTTGAATTTTGAATGACTCATTCTGAAATCAGAACGACATGTTCTAGATTCTTATTTTACTCATAACAACCTGGGTTGGAATGACTCGTTCTGGATTTTGGAAAGGCCCGTTTTGACCTAGGGTTTTTAGACCTTTTTTATGATTTGGAACGGTTCGTTCCAATTTGGAAACGACCTGTTCCAAGCTCCTATTTCAGTCATTTGTGCTTCTGGGCCCTTTAATGTTGTTCTAGTCTGTTCAAGTGTCATATTGGACCTTCAAAGCCTTCTTGTTTTATTTTGGATGCCTAGACGAAATTGAGTATCTACAAGACTAACTTTTGCTAGTGCCAAAAGCGGGAGTAGAATATTGTTTTTTATCAAGTTTTTGATGAAGTTTTGTAATAGGTAACGTGAAACTTTAATTATTATGTATAGATAAAAAAAAGTAAAAATATAATTTAATCTAAATAATTTTAATATTATTTATCATGTCATCTTTTAATTGATAGAAAATGAATAATATTAATGATCAACATTACATTAATTTATTCATTAAGAAATGAATATTCAGTGTTGTGACCAAATTTAGTAATTTTATAAAATTGTGAACCAAATATGTAAAATTAGAAAATGGATCCGATTGTATATTATAGAGGGAGGCTACCGATTGTATATTATAGGGAGGCTAAAGTTATAAATCATCCTAGAGATAAGTAGAATGAAATGTGTGTTATGATGTGATCATGACTCATAATGCACAGCTATATATCATAACGTCACCAAAGCAAATGCACAGTGTAATAAGCTCAATGGCAAAACTACAGATTGAATATCACTACCGCCACTACTCGGCCATTCCACTTCTTTAAAGAACAAAAATATAAAATAAAAATAAAAATAAAAAATTAAAACATACCAAAAAAAAAAGAAAGTTCATGAGAAAACGTCACCCAATGTCACGCTTTTGGTTGGTTCCAAAGTTTACCAAAGACGTTAATATGTGTGACGCTTTCCATGTTTTTCGGTTTTGTTTTACTTGCATGGAAAAGTCAATGCATGTGATGTTTTTGGGTTAGGTTTTGTGGTGTTCTACATGCATAAATTGTCATTTATATTGATGTTTTCTTCATTTACATGCAAAACGTTGAACCATGTGACATTTTTTGAGTAGCCACGTGGTCAAAATAATTTATTTTAGTAAATTATTTTTTAAATAATTTATTTCAAAAACAATTTAATTTTTTTTAATTTATTCTGGCTAAAAGGCCTGAAACAATGCATGAATTAAGTTTCAATTAACATCTCAATTATACAAAGATAGCTATCACATGCAACCAGTTTTAACTAAGTTAAGACACTAATCAAAGATTACTAAATTAAAAAAAAAGTAAGGATGAGAGAGACTGCAAGATGATTTATCATGGTTCACCCACTCAATATGTGGCCTATATCGAACCCTCAATCAAAACCTGATCAAGATTTGTCCACTACCTTTATGAAGTAGTTTTACGATCACACACCACACATGCAATATACTCCTACATACAAGATACAACCTTTCTTGCACCCAAGAAAACACTTATTGCAGTCACTCACTACAAGAGTTCTCATACTTGAGAAACTTAATCAAGATTCTTACCACATTACACAAAAAGAATTAAGGAACGAATTCATCTAAAAGCTAAACAGATCAAATTGTGAATTCTTGACAAATCTTAGTCCTCATCTTCAAGAATGTTGTGATGAAGATGAGTTTTCTCAAAACATTTCACAAAGTGTTTTCAATTCTTGGTTTCACAAAGAAAATGCTCCAAGAAGATCACAAAGATCAAAAGTATTTCACAAAGTTCGAACAATATCACTTGAATATGTTTGTGAATGAGAAAACCATTTTTATAAAGTTTTCAGGCTTAGATAATCATTATTTATAAGAATAATTGATTATTTTATTCTAAGTAATTCTAGAAATCACTCAAGAACAAAATAATCAATTATTTCACAGGATAATCGATTATTCTAAAGAGTGCTTTCTGGAATAATTGATTATTTCTACAGAAAGTCGATTATTACAGCAAGGCTTTTCAATTTAATGAAAAACAGAACAAATAATTGATTATCCTGTGAATAATCGATTATTTTGTGTAATATCTCAAAATTCGATTTAAACATCCATAAACCTTCTCAAGTTATATTTTATCATCATCATACTACTTTCAAGTTGATTAGGATAAAGGTTAACCTTTGCACAAAGTACAAACATTATATTAACATGAATAGAGACAAACACAAAGCAATTATAACATATACTACACTATTATAACTTTTCACTTTAAACATTTCATGATCTTATGTTTCCTTTTTGTAATCATCAAATCACTCACAAATTGATTCAGCAGCATGTGAATCTCAATAGACTTTACTCACCTCTCAACTGAGACAAATTAGCCTTAAGCAAAACCTTAGAACACTGGTGTGAAAATGAACAAAATTATACATCATTTATTTGTTTGACATGAAATCACCCCTAGATTCATATATATCCTTGAAATCTTTATAATTATACAATTGAAGTTATAAAATTGACACAACCAATATGAAATGGACTTGTCCCACTAGTTTTATACAAATAATTTTTATAGAGATAAATAATATTTTTAATTTAAAAAATTGTGAAATTTGTGTTTTACAAATGAAAAAAAGTAACTACTTGAATAAAAAAAAATTGTATAAAATATAGTTAAAATTATAATTTAAAAATATGATCTGGTTTGTTATCCTCTGGTGCTCCAAATATTAGATAGAATTAAAATTTATCTCACATTTATCATATCCTACTTTTATTCTATCATTTTCTCATCTTATCTTATCTTGACTACCAAATAGATCGTTAGTTTCTTTTTAATACAAATTTTTTTTTATCGAAAATAAAAAGTCACATTGGATATGTTTCTGTAACTAGATGTAAGTCGTATTGTATTTTTTTTCCTATATAATAGTTTCACTACTATGACCTCATTCATACTATCTCAATTTTTTAACACTAAATAGACCCTAATTACAAGTTAGTGTTTTTAGCATCTAATTCAAAAGAATTAGTTATTTTTACTCTTTTTTCACTAAAAGCAAGGTATCTCCACATTACATGATACATTTATAAGTATGTATATAATCAAAACTAGTAAACATCTTAACTAATCAACAAAATTAAAGGTAACTAAATTAACTATATACTTAAATCGAAAGATATCCAAACATTAAGTTCAATGGTTTAAAAAGTTCATGAAAGATAATAATTTAGAGAACAAACATTTGTTCAAAATGTTCTTTTCAAAACCTTCAATATGTTATCTCGACACAAACCCCATTTTTGTTTATATATATCCCTGGAAATTCAAAGCACGACCTGACAACAAAAGTTAACATCTTATAGAAGTAATTGAACCCATTTCAGAAAATATCAATAAAATGTCTTTATTGAAGATGGTGAAGGTGCTCGTGAAGTCACTGGGGATTTTTCAATAGTTGACTTGTTATCTTTACGAACATATTTTCTGGCCCAAGCATGCTTCCCATTGATGGAGAGTTTTACTTTATTTGTACTTTCAAGGATATGATCAATCATATGTATGGCCTCAGCGCGAATCACTACGCGAGCATATAACGGTTGCTCCGGTGGAACTACATCTTGCATATGCAATGCTTCAACAATATCCCCATACATTCTGTTTGACAGAAAAAAAAAAGTGAAAATATAAAAAGAATAAAAAATGAGGGGAGAAATACCACATGAGGTTTCAACCCTTTTGGCCCTTTTGATTATTCACAAAAGTATAAAAGACTTCTTTATTGTGTTTGGTGGATAAATATAATTGTGTCAAATCTAAATACCGAGTTTGCAATTGCTAATATTATTTTAACGGTGAAATGTTTAGAATACCTAATCCTTAAGTGTATGCGGTAAATAAAAGTTGAATAGTAGAATTTGCACGGGTGCATAATCAAAACTATATATATCTGTATGTTTTTCATTCCTTCACTCTAACACTCTCTTGAACATGCTTTTCTTTGACTGAAATTTTCTAAAAATTACGAAATTGTGTGGATATCACAGAAGATAAAGAAAAATCGTAAAATAATCTCTATTTTTATGAAAATTTTTAGTTGGATTTTATAAATGTTTTCAAGCAATTCCCATTCAAAAATGAGCAAAGTATATTGATCACGGGTTGGAAATAATAAGATGACATTGTAGGAACCTTTTTGTGCAAACCAAACCAACAACAAAGACAATTGAGACAAAGCATTGTAAAATACATAAGGTCACACATGTATCAATTAAAAGTTCAAATCGAGACAATCCCAATTCAATATATTGTAATACACCATTTATTGAATCTAAGCTTGTAGATTGATATATTGATATGGTAACAAATATAAAAATAGTGTACCTTAAGAAGAAATCCCGGACTTCAACTTCCGAAATAAGGTACCCTCTGGAAAACGTCATAAAGATTATCCTATCATCAACCGGAACCTCCTTATTTTCACTGGTATGATTCAACATGGCCATGAGCTCGTTAAAATTTGGATTACATTCTTTTTGGACTGAAACATCATAAGTCGTCTCTTGAGGAGGATTAGCAACACTCGAAGTGTTATAACTTCCTTCACTCCATTGTGGTGTTGATATTGCAACCTGTTGATGAGGTACGATATTAACCCCAGGTAGCGGAGTATAATATACCATTTGTTTTATATAAGGACCAGCCCCATAAATATTTGCAATTTTCAAGTGTTGCTCCTCCATAGCCTTTGTATATTGCACTTGTTGCACTATGTCTATGAAGGCTCTTTCACAAACATTGCTGAGTAATTTTGTTAGCTCATCGATTATAGTCACACGATTATCATAAAAGTATTTCAATGATATGGCATTGTTTCGCATGATGCTTTTGATCAAAGGCAAACCCTTATCGTTAACAACACCATCATGAGGGAATTGGGAACTCTCAATGCAATTCAAAACCAAGATGGCCTCACCCGCAAGGCTATCAAGCTTGGCTTCTGGCCATTGGAGGATGTTCTTCACCATTTTCATATCTTTGCACTGTTTTTCAAGCCACATGATGAAGGCCATGACATGTGTGGATTGGCTAGTGTCATGGCCTAATCCCACCACCAATCGGGAGAAGAGTTGACGATCAATGTTGTGAAAGATAAAGAATTCTTCTTTCGTAACAATAACATTGGCTCCTAGGTCCGAAGATGGGATGAAAGAAGCCATTGATAGAGAGTGGAGATGATGTTATAAAAATATAGCTATTATTTATAAAGGTATGTGATGTTTAATTTTAAAATATGAAGAGGTGCCATTTTTATCTTGGGAAGGAAATTGGAGGGGGAAATGAACCAAGTTCATTGTTTCAATGTCCTTTCCATGTATGAGGCAATTAAAGATGAATGAATGGTGATTTTCTATGTATGAAAGTTAACCATATTGAGAGTGTATTATGAGCAATGCATTAATAATCTATTTCTTTTAATGTGTTTTACATTTGTGTAATATATTCAAATAGACTTTATCTAATTTCTCGATTTAGACCAAAATGTTGCATATGTCAAGACGCGGGATTAAATGAAAACAATGTTAGTCTTAAATTATTGCAATAAAAAAGTCATAGTAATTAATATTAATTTAATTTACTTCCCAAATGCATTATTAATTTATTATATAAAAAGAATAAATGAACCACTATAGTTAGCTAATCATAAAGAGGATTTGAATAATATACATAAAGTTGTAAGTTTTAATTTTGTAGCCGCTATTACATGCCAATATATATATATATATATATATATATATTTTAATGTAAACATATAAAATCAATCAAGTCAACGTGGACCACGTTCATTTTTTTTTTGTTAGACAAAATTACATTTATATTACTCGCTAAATGCATTTCCCTATATTTCATATATTTTCCATTTCATTTTAAAAAAAAAAATTAGTATATATATATTAATCATTAATTTTAGATAAATTAGATTTTCAAAATGCATGATTTTATTAAATATTTTATTTAAAGAAATAGAAGAATTAAAATTAATTTTCACATTGTCATTTACTATCAATTCCATTTAATAATTTGTTTTCCTTATTAAAATTTCTATTTTTTATTTAAGGATAATATTAATTTCACTTCAAATAACAACAACAGTAATAATAATAGATGGCTCACATTCATTTCAACGAAAAACAAATTATGAAAGAGATAAAAATGCATAAAATAAAATAGTAGCTATCCAAAGCCTTTACATAAGTAAAACAAAAATAATAATCATGAGGTAAATAAGTTCAAATAAACTGAAACCCTAAGCTAAATACTATGATACCACATCTCATTAAGCTTTATCAAAAAAAATATTTAGGCCTAAGCCTCATTATCCTTATCATCATCTTGATGATCCTCTTGTAAAACATACATAAAAAAATATAATAAATAGAACAAGGGGACAACAATATGTCTCACTTTGGCTTCTAGTGCAAGATAAGGTCAAATAACTACACACATAAACACATAACATACGATATATACAACAAATATCAATTACAAGTTAGTCACAACATTCATATAACGACATAATACACTAAAAAGTAACCAATTGCAATCCACACACTCAATGTAATGGACACAAACTCATTTAGATCTAAATGCATTTGGCTCCAATAATATCTTGTAAGGTTATCTTCATGTATAATTATCAATATGTTCGAGTATCCTCATGTATGGTTATTAACATGTATGGGTATCCTCATGTACGAGTAACCTCATGTACGATCATCAACATTTCTGAATATCCTCATGTACAGTCATCAACATTCCATGCATATAATGCATGTCACATACACAAGACCCTATGCAATATTTCACATCATGAACTTTTCATCTACTCATGTCATAGACATAGCACATCCTCATTGTCTCATTCTCATGTACACTTCAATCAATAATTCAAATTATTAAATTAAATCTGGTAACTAAATTAAGCACCACCAATGTACCTCAAATACACAATACATAAGTACATTACATAGTCCACACATTGCAAGATACTATACGCAACATCCTCTAATAGTAGCTCAATTAGAGTAATTACAAGATCCTTTATTACTATTATGATTATAAATCATTAACTTAATCACTTTCACACCTTTGCTAATACCTTTTATTAGGTCAAAAATTGATCTTCGACTCCTTAGCATACCTCTTTGCTCATGGGTGATTATCAATCTTGGTTTTCAACCACTAGAAGTCCTATCTCAGCCAAAGAGACATGAAAGGAGTAAGAGGGAACCCATTCCCTATGGGATTCTCTTCACTAAGGTTAATGAGGACATTGGCATCAACATCACTACCTATGAGACAAGGAAAGGGTTGTGTAGAAGAAATCAACTCCACCACCCTAAAGAAAATGGGGATCACTCACCTTCTCTTGGGCAACAAGAGGAAACAAGGTTGATTCAAAGTTGAACTGGAGGAGGAGCCTTTTCTCAAGAAGCCCACAACTAGCCAAAAGACTTAATTTGTTAGACATTTATTTGAAACCATATCATTTATGATATCTAATAACTAAATCAATCTTTGTTCACTTGATTCCTTAATAGATCAAAGTGAAATAAATTCCTTGGTACCCAAAATAACAAAAGATAAGGAAAACATGTTTTACATTAGAAAAAATATGAGTAAATCCCTTGAATCATGAGAATCCTAAAAGAAAAGCCTATTTTGAACTGGCACACATATGACTCTACTTATTTTATACCTAAAAGGTGATAAGTAGCTTCCTTGATTAGCTAAGAAGTGACAATTTGGTGAAACACATTTAATGCACCAATGGACACTTCTCTCCACAAGGAACAAAAAATGAAGACAAATGAAGCAAGCTTATGAGAGACACTCAAAGATTTGCAATGGTCAACTTCAATGAAGCACCTATATAAAGAAGTTTGAAGATCCAAAAAGAGAAGAGGCACATATATTGTAAAATTACATTTATTCTTTCTATCTAAATTCGTGTACTTAATATTGTTGTATCATGTCTTGAAAGTAAGACGAAACAAAACATTTATCCTACCCAACTTTAACTTTGTGTTATTGCATTGAACCTAGAAAAGCTTGATTGAAAAAAGAATATATGGTTGTTTAAAACTTGGAGAGGTTTTATGTTCAAAGAATACTTGGGTAGTTACTTGAAGGGAAAAGTCAAGAAAAAAAACTTAGGTTAAGCTAGAAGTGACTTGGGAAATAATACTTATATCTTTGTAAAAGATAGTGGAACTTAATCAAGTTGATAAAGAACTGGATGTAGTCTCGGTGGTTAAGACAAACCAATATAAAAACATATGGTATTCTTTATTTTCTCTTTTTCCACACTTCTAAAGTTAAGATTAGTACTTCACTGTTTCAAAATATGTGAGTTTTTGATTGACACTATTCAACATTCCCTTCTAGTGTTTTTCTTTTCTCCATACCCAAGGTCTTATCCTTAAACTAATCATCATAAAATCATCTCAAACTCAAAATAATGAACTCATGTCATCACATATTAATACCTTAACCATAGTAAATTGGATATCAATACCTGGACCATTCATCAAAAGTCCAAAATGCATTACCCATAAATTAATAATAATGTGTAATATAATTGATATTAACATATAAATATAATTTATTAATTAATGTTAATCCATAATAATAATAATAATAATAATAATAATAATGTGTAATATAATTGATATTAACATATAAATATAATTTATTAATTAATGTTAATCCATAATAATAATAATAATAATAATAATAATATAGAGAATAATTATATAAATAAATATATAAATATAACAAAAACCCCAGAAAACCAAGGAAAACAAGAAAGAAACATAACAAAGAAAAATGAAGTAAAACACTACAAAAAT